CTCTCTATTTTTGAGAAAGTAAAAAAAAAAAAAAAAAAATTTTTAAAAATTTTTTTTTTAAAAATTTTAAAAAAAAAAAAAAAAAAAAAAAAAAAAAAAAAAAAAAAAAAAAAAAAAAAAAAAATTTTTTTAAAAAAATTTTTTTCAAAAAAAAAAAAAAAAAAAAAAAATATACATCACTGGCAAGAGTGTCTATTGCTCTGGCAATAGAGTTTTCCCTCTGGAGATACACACAATCGTTTTGGTTGGTTTCAGTTATAAACTGTGTGCGTACGTGTGCGTGCCTTCAGTTTCTCTAGGTTGACCCTCTCTCTCTCTCTAGAACCCTCCTTTCTCTCTCTAGATCCAACTTCCTCCTCGTTTTAGGAGTCCTTATCCTGCTTGTTTTTGTTTACAAAAACAATATATATAAATATATATTTTGTTATATTATTAAAAAAAAAAGAGTATTTAAATATAGGAAGAAAAATAAGCAACATTCGCTTCAAACGTGGATTTTTAGGGCCTTTTTGAGGTATATTTCAATTTCAATATATTTATTTGTTTAATCCATGAAAAACATGTATTGGGTTTTCTGTTCTGTTCATGGTTGGTTACTGTCATTCTTCAACAATCATATGTTCTTTTTTTGTCTTTTATGTTCTATTTGGTTTCACTTGGTTGGTCTTAATCTTCTTTGATTTGATTTTTCTTTTTTTTTTTTTTTTTTTGGGTTCTGGTTTAGACATTAATATATCAATCAGATACTGTTGTCTGTACATTTTTTTTTGTGGATTTGTTGAATTGGGTTTAGATTGGTTTGTGCAATTCTCTTTCTGGGTATTTTATTTGTGTTTTGTGGATTGAATTTGTTTGGAATCATTGGATTGGAAAATACATTGAAACTGTTTCTAGGGTTTGGATTGTTCATTGTTAAAAGTTGTATTTTATTGAATTGGGTTAGTAGAATTAGTAGTTTTTTCATATCAAAGAGTTTAGGTTATCATATATGTTTGCTTCTTCTATTCAATTGAACCATCAATCTATATGTATTATGTTTTATGGATCCTTACATGTTTAGGGTATTTTCACTTGCAAGTATTTGCTATTTGATTCTCCGTTTTGATACTGCCTTTAATCTGCAGATCAGATCCTTGTTTCTGTCTATTGTAATAATTGTGTTTATTGTTATGCAATCATGACTCATATCAATAGGTATATCATGTTTCTGAGCTAATGAGATTGTAAACCCTAGCCTATTCAGTGTGATGTGATGACTATGTTGATCTTTGGCTATCCTTTATGAGCTACACAGGTGGTGCCTGTTCTCTTTGTTGAGCATGGTATCAATACCTAGGTTGTGTCTTCGGTTTTGGTTTATCAATGTTAGATGGCTTGAGATTTTTATCAAGATGTTCCTTTGGAATGTTCCTTTGGAACGTTAGCATCCCCAATGTTTGCCCATCAATAAATGGACCATTTGTTACGGAGCATGGAGACACGAGACAGACCTAGAAAATATAATCTCTTCAAGTCGTCTTGAAGCTTTCAACAGCATCCAAGCAATTGGTATCTGATTAAAACATAGAAAGCATAGATTGGTGTCACCTACTTATATGAAGAAAATGGGTCATAAAGCTGGCTGACTAACCCTAGTTTTACATGAAAATGAAAACAATGAGGTTATTAACTAGTTCCAGTGATGCAGTTAGAAGAATTTTTTTATGGTGTTTCAATCAAATGCCCAAACTCTTACTGAGAAGTAAGGACCTTTGTTTCAGGAACTTCAATTAATTTGCTGATCGAAATCATTCTATGGAGGACCAATTATGTTTTATTTATTTATTTATTGTTTATTTACTAAAGTAAATGAATAATACATGTGAATCAATCTAGGGTTTTCTAGGGAATTTTATTGTGTACCTATCCCGACCTTCAAGATCAAAATTTGTAGTTTAAAGCCTGGAGAGTTTAGTCAAAATTTGTGATGTTATTCTCACATAGTAGATACATTCAAAGTGAACTGCCTTATTTGGGTTGTTAATTTTGTGCCAAATAATGGCATCACAAATGAGGAAAGGGAATGGGTGGATTTGGGATGTACTCAGCTCCAGATTCTGCAAATAAGATGCTATCATAACTTTTTTGCTCACATAAATTATGTGGATACCTCGGTTTTCTTCATTGTTATCTGATGTGAAGCCATTTGAATTAAAGGGCTAAATTCGGATTAAAATATACTTGACAAAGAAGCCTGTGTTACCTTTTCTCGATATGATTATTGTTTATTCAGTCGCAGCACTGGGCATTGTGTAGTATCTTCCATGATGTCATGTAGGATATGCAACTTGGAGACAATGTTACTTTATGTTTTGTTTATATATTGCTTCAATTGAAGGGACTATTTTGACTTTGTTCTTGATTTCCTTTTTATATATTTTTTATTTTTAAAACCTTCTTGAAGTTCATCTTCCATTTCTTTAGTTTGTGTGTAAGGGTCTAGCCATCACCTACATCCATTAATGGAGTTGATTCTCTGTTTACATGGGAATAATTTTTAGTTTATTTATGCCTCTATCTCTGTCTTCCTATTATCAGTTCCTTCTTTAAGTTGTTTTTTCATTTCTTTTTGTTTGCAGTTGAAAAGCTACGGTATTTGAATGTGTTCAAAATTTCTTCACCTAAAGGGTATCAGTAATCTCAATTTCTTGAAATTATCTCAACCAACACGGTAGCTTCAGGCTGTTATTTCCAGAAAACAACTGCTGATCCCAAATCACTGCAACAACACTGTGAGCAAGTGAAGATTAAACTGTCCTGCAGATATCGAAATTGGATTGATTATCGAGAATTTGATACGAGCTCCAGAGCAAAAATTGATTGTGAAAAAGAGCATGAAGGTTTATATCTACTCGTAGGCTCCGTATATTTTGATGTACTTTATTGTAAAGGGTTTCACTTGTTGAACAATATTTTTCCCCCCTGATGCTAACTTAAGAGACATGGTACCTAAGTTTCCTTCCACTTTAAGGTTTAACTAGTAACTTTTGAAAATATTTAAGCTGTACTATCTCTTTGTTAAGGCTTCATAGGATGCATGAATCTTACCATGTGCTTGGGGAGATTTAGGACATTTTTTAAAAATTAACATGCCAAACAAATCTACCTGCATCTAATATTTATTTTTAATCTTAAAAGTAATTTCTTTTGAAATTTTTTTCATAATATAAATGTAGTAAGCGCCATGATAAAATTGATTAGACAAGCAAGGACCTAATTTATAGTTAAAACAAATTTAGCCTAAACCAGTTGTCCTTTTCACTGATCATTTGCAGTTAATGTATACATATATATGTTTAGGTGACAGGAACTCTTGATGTATGTTCAATGAATTCTTTCAGTTAGCAATTTAGTTTGCATTGCATGGATTACTTATGTTAAATTGCGTATGTGCTCTGTATGTTGGAAGTTCTAGGTAAGCCAAATATTCTAAAATTATACTTTAAAAACTTACAAGACTTACCTGCAGGATCACTCGTCCAAGAACATGCACAAAAATGACAACAGTCTTGGGTCCTCAGCCAGCCCTCGAAGTCGGGAGGTATAAAACTTATTATTGTTCTTGAAATTTGTTCTTAAATTTATGTGCATGTAACAGATGTGATAGCTTTCAATTGAACATTCTTTACCTATTTAATAATTCATTGGATATAAACATAGAAAATACAATGTTGTTACCTCTATACTCTGAAGAGCTCAAATTGTGGCCATAATTCACAGTTTCTTGGATTCGATCCTGTCCTTTGCAAGTGACAACAGTATCTTGGATGATATTGCTTTGATGGTTTTTTCACCTTGGACTTTTGTATGTTGCATAGAGAAAGGTTTGTTTAACTGCTTCATCTCATGATAGCTATCTAATTGAGATCTTCTCCATTTGTAAATGCAGATATTGGCTAGATGGAATCCTGTTGGAGCATGCAGGCCTGTCATTGATGAAGCTCCTGTTTTTTACCCGACTATTGAGGTATCTTTTTTTTCTTAATACGATGTGATTTTGTACGTTGGTAACTTTATTTGTTAAACAAATAATGTTTTTCTTATGCGATGAATTTGATGGTTAATTCATTAGGAGTTTCAAGATACACTCGGTTACATAGCAAAGATACGCCCCAAAGCAGAAGCGTATGGTATATGTAGAATTGTACCTCCTCCTTCCTGGATTCCACCTTGCCCTCTTAAAGACAAGAATATATGGGAAAATGCTAAATTTTCTACACGAGTTCAGCAAGTTGACTTGCTTCAAAATAGAGAGCCCATGAAGAAAAAAAGAGGCCGGAAGAGAAAACGAAGGGGGCATTCAAAGATGGGAACTACTAGGAGTCGTCGTAGTTCTGAAGGATCCGAATTGAACGCCACTTCTGACACTGATGAGAAGTTTGGTTTCCAGTCAGGATCAGACTTTACATTTGAAGAGTTTCAGAAATTTGCCAAAGATTTCAAGGAGTGTTATTTTGGGATGAAGGATGCAATAGAGGGAAGAAGTGCTGATGGGACTGAACAGAATGAGAGCTGGGAACCCTCAGTTGAGGAAATAGAAGGCGAGTACTGGCGGATTGTTGAGCGGCCAACAGATGAGGTTGAGGTATGGAAATATTCTAATAGCTTTTTCTCTCTAATTTATTCATGCATATATTTTGAAATATGCTTGAGGGATGCTATTTTGCAAGATTAAAAGAGAAAACTGATGCTATTTTTTTGGAATGTGGCAGGTATATTATGGAGCTGATCTGGAAACTGGAGCATTTGCTAGTGGGTTCCCCAAGGCATTGTCTTTTCTATCCAAAAATGAATCAAATCAGTATATGGTTTCAGGTTGGAATTTGAATAACTTTCCACGCTTGCCTGGTTCTGTACTATGTTTTGAAGAATGCGATATCTCGGGAGTTCTAGTGCCATGGCTCTATGTGGGGATGTGCTTTTCATCATTTTGCTGGGTAAGTACTACAATGTATTTTTAAATGAAGCAAAAGAATTTTCTGAAGAAATGACAGAAGTTGGTGTTTATTGTGCTGATGGCATTTTTAATTACTGGTGTATCAGTGCCTTGCTTTACTCTTATTTTCCCTCAACTTTGTCATGAAATTAACCATCATATTTTAAGACGAATAGCTTTTGTAAACTCGTAAAAAGTTGGTACTAGACTAGTAGTATAATGCATATTTGTTTGGGGCATATTTCTACCCCTACATAAAAGTTCAAATGAGAAAATAAAATTAAAATAAATTTGGACATGGAGATGAGAGGAGATACAAAATCGGGATGCTAAGCAAACCAATAGGTGAACACAAGTCAATGAGTTTATGGTTGACTTGTTGAGTTTTACGGAGTAGGCTGAGCTGCTGAGCAAGTGGCAGGAAGGGTTAGTGTTCTGGAAGCAGGTTTATGGTTGAACACAAAAGGCAAATAGGTCATTTGGGATTAAAATTGAAGCTTGAATTAAAATGAAAAAAGAGAATAAAATAAAAAAAGAGAGTAGAAAGTAGAAAAAAAATATTTTAGAGTCTTTTTTAGAATGATAATGGAATCCCCTGGGGTGAGTCCAATCACATCACATGCTTCAAAATATATTTTTTTTCCTTGTTCTGTTTTGTTTCTCCCTTGACTGATTGATTGTGTTTGAAGCTGTTGTTTGACTTTTGTTTCTCTTGTTTTGGGAAAGCATGTTGAGGACCACCACCTCTACTCGCTAAACTATCTACACTGGGGTGATCCAAAGATTTGGTATGGAATACCTGGAAGCCGTGCTTCTGAGTTGGAGACTGCCATGAGAAAGCACCTACCGGATTTGTTTAAGGAGCAACCTGATTTACTTCATGAACTAGTAAGAGAACAATAGCTCTAGATTTACTGTGGTTAAGGACCTAAACTTGCATATAATAAGGATAGTCATGTTTTGAGAGTGAAATCTATGGTTGAACTTATGATTGTTTTGTTGTGACAGGTAACTCAGCTGTCTCCTTCGGTTTTGAAGTCTGATGGTGTACCCGTGTATAGAACTGTCCAGCATTCTGGGGAGTTTGTTCTTACCTTTCCAAGGGCATACCATTCTGGATTTAATTGTGGCTTCAATTGTGCGGAGGCCGTGAATGTGGCCCCCGTTGATTGGTTAGAACATGGGCAAAGTGCAGTTGAGCTCTACAGTCAGCAACGGCGCAAGACATCACTGTCTCATGACAAGTTGCTATTAGGGTCAGCGAGGGAAGCTGTCCGAGCCCTTTGGGAGCTTTCAGTTCTCAAAGGCGAGACTCCGAGAAATTTGAGTTGGAAAAGTGTCTGTGGAAAAGATGGGATACTTACCAAGGCAGTTGAGGTAAATCTATGAATGTAATATACAACTATAAAACATGTATGCACATTATTTAGATAAGTACTGATGCAATTGCTTTTGTGTTAGAAAGTTGTTTGTGCACTCATCTAGTTTTCTGTTCAAGTAATTTATTTTATAATTTTTTACTTTTTCAGAAAAGGGTTCTCATAGAAGAGGAGAGAATGCATCAGCTTCCGACCCAGTTTCAGTTTCTAAAGATGGAAATAGATTTTGATGTAAAAAGTGAGCGAGAATGTTTTTCATGTTTTTATGACTTGCACCTTTCTGCTGCCTGCTGCAAGTGCTCCCCAGACAGGTTTGCGTGTCTTAAACATGCAAACTTGTTATGTTCCTGTGAGTTGGACAATAGATTTGTCCTTCTTCGTTACAGCATGGATGAATTAAAAACACTGGTTGAAGCGTTGGAGTTGAAATTGGATGCTATAAAAGCATGGGCATCAGAATCAGCTTCTGTAAATGGAAAAGATAGATCTTCTGCTGAGCTTGATGTGGAGAGAAAGACATCTGGAAGTAATGGTCTAAAGAAAAAGGAAGATCCATCTTGTTCCCCGGCAAACAAAGATATTGATATAAACGACCCTTGCAGTTCGTGTTATTTTCATGTTTCTTCTGAAGTAGCTCCTTCGAACACTGAGCAAACAACTTTCAATTTATTTGAATCACAGAGCATGGTAGGTGAGCATAATCGAGAAGCTCCTCTTATAACCGATGAAGATCAGGTAGCACAGGAATGCTGTTTTGATTTGAATGTAGGAGACGTGACTGATGAACAAGCAAGTGGTTTGCAGCAAATATCTGATAGCTGTGATAATTATGGCACAAATCCACAGAAAGGATTAGATACAATGCGACTCGGTAGTGATTCCGATTCCTCCGTTTCACACATTATTTCAAACAAAGATCGTCCTTCATGTTCGGGGAATGCAGGGAATTCATGGGCATCTGATGGTGGTAAGTTGTTTGGGGTTGATCTTTCATTTTCCCATTCACATTCAAATGGTCCGTTGAGCTTCTTGTTAAAATCCGAAACAGTAGATCACTCGGACATGAGCAGAGAAGGTTGTTTGATACAGAAGTTGAGATTTTGTGTTGATCCTATAATTCACGGAACGCTAATGGTTGGAAAGCTGTGGTGCAACAAGCAGGCCATCTTCCCAAAAGGTATGCTTCAGTTTAACTATTTACAAGTGTGGGTATCTATATCGTGCTTGGCAAGTGGCGTTACAAGTGTCACGTCATCACCATCACACATCCACGTGGTAGACCCTTGAGGCACCACAATGAGTTAGGGTTGTATGCCTAGCCTAAGCGGGGGCATGCACACCACCACATATGGAACAGGACCACAACTCACCTTGATAGAGCTGGCTCTCCTAAAGCTCTCTATTGTCCTTCATGACTGATGAGAAATATATTCTCTGCCCACTCACCCCAGCTCCATAGCAACATAATTGGACCCTAGGCCCACCCATGTTCACTTCAGAGTGAGCCCTTGACTTACCCATGAACTCACCCCCTTGGTTGCCTAGGTTGGGAGTAGGACCTAGGCACTCCCGCTTGGGATCATTGGAGGATTGTGGATTGGAGGCTAAGACCTTGGGATTGTCAAGGTCATGTAACTGTCTCCTTGCAGTGATAGTTCCACCTTGACCTGGCTTAGAGAAAGGGACATTGACCTTACACTTACACTTGTTGCATATATGATATGCCTCTCAAAATATCATACCTACACCTACAACTCCTATGATGCAGCCTTCCCAAGGACCTGAATCATAGGACACAATTAGTAAGGTTGATATCACCCGCCTGTCGAGTTGAGGAGAACTTGCCACCTGTCTTGAGGTTGCTTAGGCTCCAATACTACTGGAGTCTATATAACGGCATCATAAGCACAACCACAATCATAACAAGAGCAACAAGAATCATAACAACAACATATATAACATGTTCAATGTCTCTCACTACCACTCCTTTCCTCTCTAAGCTTGTCTTGGTCTTCTCCTCTTCCATCTCCAGTTGAAGTGCCCGCCATCTTCCTAGAGGTCAATGACCGATTGCCTCTAAACCCACTTACCCACAACATGGTTTCTAAATCTTTCCTTTTCGGAGACTTTTTTTAAATAAATAAAAAAAAAATTGGCATCAAAATTTCTAATTATTTGGTCTGCAATCTTTGCTCAACTTTGCAGGATTCAGAAGCCAGGTGAAGTTCTTTGATGTGCTCAATCCAAACAAAATGAGTAGCTATATATCAGAAATACAAGATGGTGGGCTCCTTGGGCCTTTGTTCAAGGTAATTTATTTTGTAATTCTTTTTAAATTTTCGATTTACAGTCAGAAATCTCTGTTTTCAAAAATTATTTTGTTATTTAATGGATTTTATTTTTTATTTTTTATAATGCTTAAAGGGTGGAAAATCTTCATTAACAGAAGACATCAGCTTTCTTTTTTTATAAAAATTTCCTAGACCATGGAGAACATCATTGGTTGGCTCTACATGCTAATAAATTTGGACCTTGAAATAATTAAGTGCCATTCTTTTTACTCATCCAAGCACTCCAAAATATGTGTGAATTTATCATTATATGTATGTATATATTTTTTTCCTCTGATGTTTTGATTTTTCCCTCATTTTATGATATTACAGGTTACCTTAGAGGAGTGTCCAAGTGAGAGCTTTGTAAATATTTCAGCAGAGAAGTGTTGGGAAATGGTGTTGGAAAGGCTAAATCAAGAAATCGAAAGGCAGAGCAATTTAGGAAAGCAGGGACTGCCACCCGTACAGCCTTCAGAAAGCATTAATGGGCTTGAAATGTTTGGGTTTCTCTCACCACCCATTGTTCAGGTAAACCTAACTTTTCATATGCCTCAACTATGAAAAGACTTGAACTGAACAAACAAAACCTAACTTCTCTCACCTCCCCTTAATCACATTCATTAACTACCTCTTCCATAATAAATAAATAAATATATATATATATATATATAAGACTTGAACTGAACGAACAAAACCCTGATAATTCTATGAACAATTGATTTTTGTATGGTTCCAACTCATTCATCATGCCTTAACTATTTGAAATTATGATATTAACCATACACCATTTACCTCTCAAAGTAAAAATTAAATGGTATAGTCTTTCCCCACTAATATGTGGGTTTGATTCATATTTGTCTCGAATTAATATCTAACTTAAAATAATTTTCAAGCTGAATGATCTCAAATGACAGCTCTCTAATAGTTTCCATTATTCACACATTGAACTTGATCAATCACGCCCTCCCAAAAGAGGAAATTAAGGGAAAAAAGAAGTTGATCAATTAATGATTGGGAGCTGGAATACAAAAAGTCTCTTTTTCTTTTTAAAGTGAAAACATCTCTATCGGTTGGATTAATACTACCACCAGTCAGCATGAAGATGCTGCAAATTTTTTTTTTTGTCTGAATGGAAGTTTCAGCCATAGGAATTTCCACACCAAGCCGAGAGGAGTCCTTTCAGAAGAAATCAATTGGTGTATTTTATGTTACAGTGATGAACAGTCATCCAATGGATTGAGAATCACAACGACCCTCAACTCTTAAACTTATAGGGACTTTGTTTTAAAACTAAAAATAGTTTCTCGTATTAATATTTTCAAACCAATATACTTGAATTCCATATATGCTGATGATAGAAGTGTTTTAACAGGCTATTGAGGCTCTTGATCCGAATCATAAATGCACAGAGTACTGGAACCACCGGCTTTCATTCAAGGAGCCTGAAGTGCCAAAAAGCTCAAGCGAAGAGAATTACACCAATAAGTACCCTTCTGGATCAAGTCAATCTGCAGGGGAAATGGAAACAAAACTTTTTGGTTTCGATTTGACAAAGCAAGAGCAAGATAATTTAGCAGTAGGTAACAGTAATCATTCAGTTCATGATGAGTTGCAATCTGTACTGCAAAGATTATTGAAGAAAGCAAATCCCGAAGAATTGAAAATGATGCATAGAATATTGTGCAGTGAGTCAAGAAGCCCCGAATGGAGAGTGGCACTCGCAACATTGACTGAGGCGATCCAGAGAACTTGTAAATAACGCCCAACCATTCTTTGACAATTCAGGTAGCCTCTTACATGTAGTCAATTTATTAGTCTCATTCTTTCAAAATTCTGGATAATGGATAGAGATCCTGATTCTGGGTCATGCACAAAATATTTGCGTGCTTGCACATGATGCTGATTTTTGATCTTGATTAATAGATAGTGGTGTTAACTTATTGTAGCAATGACTTTTTGTACATTATAATTTTTTATCGAGACCATTTGAAATATACATGCCAGTTTTGTTTTGAGTTGCCGGCTTTATTTTGGAATTTGGAAGTGTTTTTAGTTCTTTCATTGTTACATCTATAGGAGATGCTTGCAATAAGAATTGAAAGTGCCTAGTTGTTTATGAATGCAAATGATATGTTTTCTGTGGTTGCCAAAGTGCTAGTTTATATGGTGATATAAACTCCATCCCTTGGCAATTGCTGTAAATTAACCTGGTTGATTCCACAATAGACCCAGTGCAGTTGACATGATTTCCTTCTTTAATAGCGGTATCACTACCAAAGACAACAATCTCTACATTCTCATTCTCAAGATTCAATGCTATTTCTTTCACACGGCTGGCAAATTCAACCATTTTTTCACCGTGAATCTCGTTCAATCCATAAACATGTGCAGTCCCTGAAAAACCCTCTAATTCACCATGGTATAGTTCTTTTCATAGGCTCTCTTCCAGATCAGGGGTGTGTTGATGGTGGTGGGAGTTTGGTGGCAGAGGTGGTGGTTTGAAGGGAGATGGCTTAGGGTTTCAAGGGTGGTAGGGGAGGGAGGAGCGGGGGTTGGGGAGAGAAGGGGTGGGGCGCATTAGGGAGGCGAGGAGCAAACAGGTAGAGAGGCGAGAGGTTTGGCCGGGTGCACCAACTGCCTTGTGAGTGGCGGTGATTTATATGCAGTGCTTTATATGGTAGAATAATGCTACAATGATTATCTATTGTTATTAACTTTTTTTATTGCGTATGATGTGTCAATTTAGTTGTCAGCATTTTATTGAAGATATACATTATTGATGACACCTATTACATCAAAATTGTATTGACAAGTATCATGAAAAGTATGATATGGTATAAAAAATTGATGAGTGTAATATTAGCATATACGGCAGAATATTGTTGATTTATTTTTTATTTCATTCTTTATTTATTTTTTCAAATCTCATAAATCTCACGACAAATTTTAGTATTATTGATTTATTTTTTATTTCATTCTTTATTTATTTTTTATTTTTTCAAATCTCATAAATCTCACGACAAATTTTAGATCTAAACACAGCGAACAAAATAAATAAATAAATGAATAATAATAATAATAAAAGAGGCTCAAGCGAAATCCTTAGCTTTGGCTTCCAAACACATCTTTTGACAACTTGCATACCACATGATTATAATAACGATTAGGGTAATGCCATATAAATTAATAAATTATATATTTTTTTATTATTTGCATGAGATGTTCCTATCATTTTGAAGTGATTAATGTTATAAATTTTAAAAATCATATCAAATTTGTAAATTAATTTGAGTAATGTCTTGATTAAATTTACTTACCATCAAATGTTCATGCCATCTTCCATGTTCCTCGTTACAAAGTTTTTAATGACATCTTAAAAGAAATAAGCTACACTTTTTTAGCAATTACATAATACAAAGATACAAAACTAGAACACAAATGCATACATAGACACAAGAGATCTGGTTTGACTTTACAATCCCAATATCATAAGCCCTATTTCAAATCCCATGTGTTAAAAAGTACTGAACACATAACAAGCTTGGTTGATTACCTAATCAAAAGGAGAGAGTGACACCATGAGAAAGTTTACAAGTTATTACTAATTAAACAATAAAGCCACAAACTCATAACTCATGTAGTTGAGTTCACACTCAAAAGGAATTTGAACCACGTATTATTTTTTTTGAGTATTTTTCTTTGTACGGATTCTAAGTCTCTAGTAACTTTTTTATATAAAAGGCTTAAAAAGGAGATGGTGTAAGGAAATTAAGGAATGTTTGGGAAATGGAAAGGAGGGAGAGGAGGGAACATAAAGCTCGTAGGAAGTGGGGGAATTCCAGGGATTTGTGGAATTTGAGGAATGGGAGTGGAATTTGAGGTGTGGGAGGTGCAAATGGAATGTCAAATGGTAGCAAATTCTTCATCTCATCATCACCCAAATTCAGCCTTGCCTTGATTCTACTGAACTTCACCATCTTTCCTTCTCCCTCATATTCATTGACATTCCTAGGTTTAGGCATATTGCCAAGTTGGCGAGCATCAGCATGAGATACAAGATTGAGAATCATAACCACCAAGCCAAACAAGAAAATGGAATTCAAGACCATTCTTGTTGAATCTTGTGAACCCATAATTGATGTTTTCTAAAGAGAGGACAGCTTTTGTCCTATGGCTCTACTCTACATGGGTTTATATAGAGAAATGTTACATATATTAATAAATTTATTAATGTAACATTTGTCATAACTATCAACATTTTATTAGTAAGTGAGGGTACATGAAATAAACTTTTTAGTTGTGTTTATAATAATTTTACATATATAGAATCAACTATAAGATCAATATAAGTGGAGTATGTAACATGAGTAAACCAACATCTTGAGTGATAGATCTTATCATTTAAGGTGTATGACTATCATTATTTTATATAATTAATTTTATAATTTTATTTAAATTTATCACATCATTTAAGGTGTATGATTATCATTATTTTATATAATTAATTTTATAATTTTATTTAAATTTATCACATCATTTAAGGTGTATGACTATCATTATTTTATATAATTAATTTTATAATTTTATTTAAATTTATCACATCATTTAAGGTGTATGACTATCATTATTTTATATAATTAATTTTATAATTTTATTTAAATTTATCACATCATTTAAGGTGTATGACTATCATTATTTTATATAATTAATTTTATAATTTTATTTAAATTTATCACATCATTTAAGGTGTATGACTATCATTATTTTATATAATTAATTTTATAATTTTATTTAAATTTATCACATCATTTAAGGTGTATGACTATCATTATTTTATATAATTAATTTTATAATTTTATTTAAATTTATCACATCATTTAAGGTGTATGACTATCATTATTTTATATAATTAATTTTATAATTTTATTTAAATTTATCACATCATTTAAGGTGTATGACTATCATTATTTTATATAATTAATTTTATAATTTTATTTAAATTTATCACATCATTTAAGGTGTATGACTATCATTATTTTATATAATTAATTTTATAATTTTATTTAAATTTATCACATCATTTAAGGTGTATGACTATCATTATTTTATATAATTAATTTTATAATTTTATTTAAATTTATCACATCATTTAAGGTGTATGACTATCATTATTTTATATAATTAATTTTATAATTTTATTTAAATTTATCACATCATTTAAGGTGTATGACTATCATTATTTTATATAATTAATTTTATAATTTTATTTAAATTTATCACATCATTTAAGGTGTATGACTATCATTATTTTATATAATTAATTTTATAATTTTATTTAAATTTATCACATCATTTAAGGTGTATGACTATCATTATTTTATATAATTAATTTTATAATTTTATTTAAATTTATCACATCATTTAAGGTGTATGACTATCATTATTTTATATAATTAATTTTATAATTTTATTTAAATTTATCACATCATTTAAGGTGTATGACTATCATTATTTTATATAATTAATTTTATAATTTTATTTAAATTTATCACATCATTTAAGGTGTATGACTATCATTATTTTATATAATTAATTTTATAATTTTATTTAAATTTATCACATCATTTAAGGTGTATGACTATCATTATTTTATATAATATTATTAAAATATTAAATTTTAAAATAATATAATTTTTAATTTAGATATCAATTTTTAATCAAATTAGTATTTTTAAAATGCTCTTATAAAAATCTATCAAATAAGATTTATGCTAACTATGAAATTCTTAATTTTTTTTATTACCGTCGAAATTGATATAAATAATAACATATTATTCTATTTGAAAGAAATATGTTATTTTATTTGACAGTAATATGTTACTCTGGTAATATTGTATACCAAAAAAAATATTTTATTTTATCATTACTCAATTATGTGTCTCTTCCTTAGGGAGTATATGAAACAAAATAAATTGAACTGTTATGTTTACTAAATAAGGTCTAATAAAAAAAAGTAATGCTAGAGACTTTAAAAATTTTATCAAAAATTGTACTAAATGTCTCGCATGTGTAGGGACGGTAATGGATAACCTACTTTGTGAGTATCTATGGAGACCTAACCCAAATACATTGGTTTTTCCCTTTTTTTCTTATCCATTCGGTAGGGTAAGTGATATTCTTTAAATATTCATAGGGGATGGGTCGGGGATGGATATCCACTAATTTCCCCATATGTTTGTTTGTTTGTTTGTTTTTTTTTTTAATAATTCACAACCAACGCTAAATATACATTCAATTTTTATTTATTTATTTATTTATTCAGGTTCATAACCAATTTTTTTTTTTTTTTTTTTTTTTAAGATTCACAACCAAAACTAAATATACATTCAATCTTTTTTCTTTTATTAATTAATTTATTTATTTCAGGTTCACAACCATTTTTTTTTTAAAGATTCACAACCAAAGCTAAATATGCATTCAATTTTTTTTTCTTTTATTTATTTAGGTTCACAACCAATTTTTTTTTTAACCAAAACTAAATATACATTCAATCTTTTTTATTTTATTTTATTTATTTATTTATTTATTTCAGGTTCACAACCAATTTATTTATTTATTTTTAAAGATTCACAACCAAATCTAAATATACATTCAATTTTTTTTTAAATTTTTTTAAGATTCACAACCAAAACTAAATATACTTTCAATCTTATTTTATTTGGCTCAAAAACAAAATCAAATACATATTAATTAACATTGTCACATTATGCTTGTCAAATTTTATGCATATCTAGAATTTTTTAAATTTATTTAGAAAAATTCTATTCTTACAAAAAAATTCCATTTTCTTTTTTAATTTTTTTTAATTTTATGTATCTCCTTCTCCTCTCTATTAATTGATCTTCGATAATTTAAAAGTGAGTTGTTACTCTCGTTTCCATCTTCTTCTTTTCTTTTCTTTTTTTAAATTTTTATTTGCATTTATAGAATGAATTTTCTTATTTCAATATCTCCTGCAATTGTTTTATTGGATTTATCTCTGATTTGATGGCAACCTTAGATTGAATTTTCTAATTTTTATCTTAACTAGTGATCACCTCAATTGAAATTTTGTACATTTTTGTCTTCTATGATGACCAGGCATGTTATTCATTTCGTTCCTCTTTGCTTAACCTTGGGTTTACTATTATTATAGTGTCAGATTTTAGTGTGAGATTATAGTGTCAGATTTTAGTGTGAGATTATAGTGTCAGATTTTAGTGTGAGATTATAGTGTCAGATTTTAGTGTGAGATTATAGTGTCAGATTTTAGTGTGAGATTATAGTGTCAGATTTTAGTGTGAGATTATAGTGTCAGATTTTAGTGTGAAATTAACATGTCCACAGCAGAAGCTGATAATCAGAAGCAAGGGGTGAGCAGCTTCTCAGAATCAGCTTTTTTGAGTTAAAATAAGCTGTCAGAATCAGAAGCTGTTTGAAATAAGTTTAACCAAACAGTCCAAAATAACTTTTTCAAAGCTAAAAGCCATAAGTTGGCTCTGAAAAGCTGAAACAAACACCCCCAATATCCACACCATTAACTTCCATTGCCATCCCTACGCATGTGTGTGAAAACCAATGATGGATCTAGGGGGGCTAGGGGGCGGCCGCACCCCCAAAAATTTAAAAAATACCATATATTATATTAAAAATTTTAAAATAACTTAAAATTATAGGAGTTCGCATCTTCAAATTTTTTGTAGATAATTTTAAAATTATATAGAGTAGCCTCCTAATTTTTTAAATTATAGAGCAGTCCTCCAAAGACATAATCCTAGATCCGTCCCTGATGAAAAATCTACACAATGTAAGTTTCACACCCATATAAAATATTTGATAAATTTTTTAAAATTCCTAACATTTTTGAATAAAAAAATTTTGGCTAAAATTTCCACGCTTTAAATGTTTAATGTGGTTTTTATACCAAATTGAAGAAGTTTCGGATTTCCTAAGAGGCATGTTTGCTGTGAAATGTAGAGCCCTAGTAATGAGTGCATACATGCATGCTTGCATGTGTCAACACTTAACACTTGCTTTACTTACAACACAACCGCTATGTTTGGCAATGGCATAGACCATTTGAGTTAAAATAATTAAAAAAAAAAAATAAATTAAAAAATTAATAAAATAAAGGGCAAATTACATATACACCCCTCCAGGTTTGGTTAAATTACAGATACCCCTGAGGTTTCGGAAATTACATCCCGCCCCCTGAGGTTTGTATTTTCATAACAATTTACCCCCTGAGGTTTATATTTCATAACAAATTACCCCCTAATTTCTTATGCAAATATAGCATTCAGGGGGGAATTCGTAATTTCTCAAACCTCAGGGGGGTATCTGTAATTTTGTCAAACCTGAAGGGGTGTATATGTAATTTGCCCTAAAATAAAATACCATATTCAAATCATAATCATTTCATTTTTTCTTTCATAAAAGTCAAAAAATTCAAAAAGTTTATCTCAAATGAGACTTTTTAGTCCCAGACTAAAATAATCAAAAAGTCAAAAAGCTAAAAAACCAACTCACATCCCAAACGGAGGCTACAACCTATTTATTAATAGTTGTTAATAATTAGATTTAATTTTTATTAAATTCTATTAAAAATAAATTTTAATAAAATTGTTGTTAAAAATGATTTTTTGTGATAATTTTTTACTTATGTAGCTAAAAATTAGGCAAACTTATTTTTTAGCAACATATGCAGACAATAGATACAAAAAATTATTTTTAATGACGATTTTATTAGAACTTATTTTCAATAAGATTTGATAGAAATTTAATCAAACTATTATGACCTATTGATAATTTATCCATAATAATATTAGTCAGTGACTGTTCAAAATTTTATAAGATTTTAAATTAAATATCAAAATGAAATTTTATTTTATTAGATTTTTGAAAATTTAAAACACTCAACAATAATTTTTTTTTAAAATCTTAAACAATATACCAAGTGACTTAACGATTGAGCTACTCGCATAATTATTACTAGTGAGCGTCAATGCATGATTGGAGTAGAACAAAAACAATTAAAAAAAAAAAAAAAAACCTTGGGTTAGTGGCAAAGGCATTTGACTTTCTATTGGTGGCACACATCATAGATGTCCTGTGAATTAATACTCGAATTGGAATATTTAAGTGAACGATAAAAAAGGTTATTGACTCCCACTTATGGTTCTAGCAAGCACTACAACTAACCATTAACATCAAACTTTTAATGAAATTTTCTTTTGAAGATTTCGTAATTACCATCCCTTTAAACTGAGGTCAAACCTTATTATCTTAAAATTGTGAGAAGGTATTAGAGAAAATACTGAAAAAAAAGGAGTAATTATTTTTTTACTCAATATTACATGCGACATTGAATAATTTAAGGAAAAAAAAAGTTAGTGAAGGTTAGCTACCTAGGCTAAATTTCTCACCATTTCAAAAAAAATTACCTTATTTTTTTTTGTATCTGATTTTACTTGTTTTGAATCTAACCACTCTTTTGTACCATAAAAAAATCTCAAAGTATTTATTCTATTTTGTGAATTACGAAGTCAATTTCTTTATGAAATAAGTATAATTTTCCCCTTTAACCATGTCTGAAAGGCCAAGGTTATTCAGCCAATGTAACATGTATCCCTAAACAACCTAAAAAGCCTAACTTCAGCTTTTTTTTAGCTTCGATCTTCGATTCTCCATTTCCCACATCTTGAGTCCTTATTCATGTTAGGGAGACATCCAAACAACATGAATTAAGAATGAATGACCTAAAAACACAATGTGAAATAAATCTCCAACACTCCTTTACATATACAGCCCATCATATGTAAAGGTGATAGAGAGACAAAAGAGGCAAGGAAAAGAGACTCATGTGAAGTTTTGGCCTCAAAAATGACTAAAGACCTCACTGTGATATCATGTTAGAGTTATAAATATGTCTAATTTAAAATCAATTGATATTAGGTGGAGAGACCTATAAATTATATGAGCCAAGCTTGCATGGGTGACTTAGAGAAGTGATTAGAAAGAATAAGATTGAAGCAATGGGACCTTAGGTCTTCAATGTTAAATTTTTTGACTCCTTGTGTGAGTTGGGTGGCTTCTCAGATGCAGCAAAGGAGCTTCTTCAACAGAGAGTTAAAGGATTACCATGGTTAAAACACATGGACAGAATATAGAAAACAGATTGAGTGCATGATAATGGAGATAATAAAGGAGACAAGATTTGACTCTAGGATTTCGTGGAACTATAATTCTAATACTATCTTGAATAATTATTTTACAAGTTTAAACTATTAACAAATGAGTCCAACAATAAATATCAAACTATAAAAGACACATTATTCATTTGCATTCAAAAACCAAAATTCTAAACTGTTTACCAAATATGATTGGTAAATTTACCAAATTCTTGAGACACTTGGGCTTAGTTGGTTGGCTCTCAATTGGCCATACCCTTGGAAGGAGGTAAAAGGTCAGATGAAGGAATTCAGTCAAGTTGCCTAGCAAATGTGCCAAGTGACCACTCTCACACACCAAAAATCTTACAAGAACATTTTCTCTCCATTGAAATTCTATTTTTCCATTAGATAACTCCATGTTTATGACATGAACTAGATGCATATTGTGTCCCTGCAAATCAATAGAATATATTCCATCATGGGCAGCTAGGTACTGAAGATGAGAGGTGGATGAGATGAGAAAAAAAGTCAAAAACAAAAACGAGAGAGAGAGAGAGAGAGAGAGAGAGAGGTGAAGCAAGTTGATTGGCTATAAATAGATCATTGAAACCAAGTATTGGCATCCTATTGGAGCTTGAAAATATTAGAGTACTAGAGGAAGAGAGGCCTTACATGAAGATAAGAGTCCTGTTTGGTAGCCAAGGATGACTTGCCTCCTCCATCAAAGGGGTGTTGAAGCACACCATATGTTTATATATTTAGTTCTCTTACCAATAAGGAAATGGATCTCATAACATGAATGGATAAGATTTTATAAGGTTTGTTAATAGGGTCTAGTTTTAGAAAATCTTATTTGTTTATATATATTTTGTATTCAATTCTGTGATGGGCATTTTCCTATACATTGGAACCTCCTTGTTCGGTTTGAGGTAATCTCCTTGGCTAACTGATAGGCACTTGTCTCTCATGCTAGGCCTTCTCTTCTTCCCTGCAAGCACTTCTCTCTCATGCTAGACATTCTCTTCTCTCTTATGCTATGTCGATCAAATTCATTTTGAATGTGACTGTCACCATATCAAATTTAAAGTTACATCATATATTCAAATTTTAGATATTTTTTTGAAATATATATTTTTGAATACATAGTTTTTTTTGAAAACTCTCTAATAAGCCCAATTTGAACTCAATAAATTACACTAAGATTAAGTTTGAGTGGGGTTTTTTTTGGAACTGAACCGATCAATCTATTAAAGTTTTACCTTGTTAATTTTTTTTTTTTGAAAAAAAAGAATATCAAAACAAATAACATACAACAATAACCTAACAAATATATATATATATATATATATATTTTACCAAAATAAATTGACATAACAAACAACTTCGTAACAAACTTAAGAGTCGTTTGGCAAGTAATTATTTTAATAAAAAAAGTCAAAAATAATAATTAGAAAGTTAAAATGTCAAAAATTTCAAGAAAGCAGCATCTTTTAAGAAGTGTTGCTTGATTCTTGAGATTACGCTTCTATGATGGGCTAAAAAACAAAGACATAGTTCCTCACTATTAAAAACAAAAAATAAATAATTGGTGCATCTACTTTTATTCTGAGAGTAGCGTAGATAATAAGTTTACTTTTCACATGTTCTACTCATATTTGACTCTTATCTGTGTTACATCATATAATTAAGGAAGTATCACTTGATCCTCTAATTTATACTCCTAAGATGGGTAAATGATCCAAACTCATTTCAATTTTTTAAAAAAATTTTGTGCTTGAACTTTTAAATGGAAGTGACTTTTAAAATAAATAAATAAATAAACCCTTATGTATAAGGGAAAAAATAAAAAAAATGAGAAGTAGAAAAATAATTACAAATTCATAAAAGTATATCACCCATTTGCATAATTTAGTGCTTAAATCATTAATATGTTTATGAGTTTGTAATTAAAATTTTAAATAATTCTTCTTATTATTTTTTTGATATTTCCCTATTTATAATAATTTCTGGTCCGATCAGGCATAATTTTCCTTATCCGTTAGGAAGTGGAGTGTGTGTGTGTGCGCGTGTAAGAGAGAGAGAGAGAGGAATGGCAGCAGTGGCAGCAATAATTCCTTCAAGCTCTACCCTGAATCTGCATTTTCAGGCAAATCGGAAGAAGGGTTTGGGATTGGACTCAACAAGACGAGGAAGAAGATTGAATTCTCTTGTTAGCATCACTCGATCTTGCCTCCTTCACCCCAATGCTCCTCTCCTTGAAGCTGCAGCCAAGCACACTGTAACATTCTCACTTTCATTCTCTTTTTTCTCATTTGGATTCTATGATCTATCCTATATTGTGATGTTCTTTAACCCAAACCCCAAATGAAAAAAAGAGAGCAAAAGAAAAGTATGCCCTGTTTCTTGTTCATATTATGGGTTTGTTTCAACTAATATTTAGTTTTATGTGTTTGTTTTATGTTATAATAGAATACAAATTAAGTTAATTTGGTTATAACACCTTTGTAATAAATTATATGTCTTTAATTATCTGTCAAATATTCTCAATGTCAAATTCTTTGAACTGCATTGCCTTCTGAAACTGGTGACCATAGTAGGGGGATCATGGACATGTTGCTCAATCAGAAATTATTGGTAAATTAAATCCAATTCTAATGCACCATTTGTTTGGGCGGAAAACATTTTCTACATAAAACTTTTTTCAAAAATGTTTTCTGGAGAAAACATTTTTCTATGTTTGGTGGTGGTGGTGGTGGTGGGATGAAGGTGGTGGTGTGGTAATGGGGTGACAGTGACGGTGATGGTAGTGGTGGCCATGGTGATGGTTATGTGGTGGTGGTGGATGTGAGAGTGGTGGTAATAGTGTGGTGATATTGGTAAGAGTTTAGTCCGGAAAATGTTTCCCTCCTTTTAAAGCAAAAAACATTTTCTACACAAAAAGACTTATTTTCCGTTAAGACTTATATTTTCTATTATACCAAATTCCAAACACTAGAAAAATACAGAAAGCCCAAACAAACGGAGCGTTGTCGATCCCTTTTCACTCTTCTCTTGATTATCTGCAATTATGTGGGGAGCAGGTAAAGGGCAACTAATCTGTATCTTCGCCTCTTCGGTGTTCTTTTGTAGGTGGATACATTCATTAAAAGTGGCATGGTGGTTGGATTAGGATCTGGCCTTGCTTCATGCATGGCTATACAATATTTGGGTCGGCAACTTCGTGTGGGTGCTATAAAAGATATAGTAGGAATATCCACGTGAGTTCATCCTTTTTATCCCCTATCAAATATGTTGCCTACTATCTTGACCAATTGAATTGAATAATAAGATAATTCCTAATAATGAAAGAAACTTAATTAGCTGAGCATATCTTAGCAGTTGATGCAATTGCATCTGGTTATATTCTTTTTTTTTTTGATCGGCTACAAAAGAGTTATTATAAAAGAAGAAAAGTACCAGAGAGAACGGGAGAACAAGGAGTCCTCCAAGAAAAGAAAAGAAAAAAATAAAGACGAACTAAAATCTCGCACTACATATCACACACTGCCTCAAATCTCTAGAAACAAAAAAAGAGTGGAATTCTTTAGTATAATCTTTTCTTTTTTCTGGTCTCTAGAGGTTCAAGGCAACATGCAATTCTTGTGTAGTTCTACGCCTTTGTTTTTTTGCTCATTCTAGATAGAACATGTCAATGATTATCAGTCATTCTCTTGACTTGGTGCAAGTTAAAAGCCTGTTTATTAGACTTGTTTATTTTCAATCACAAAGTAAGTTTAATTGTCATTGGTGTGATGCAGATCTGTTGGTAGTGCCAGTGAAGCAGCGAAGGCAGGAATTCCATTGGATCACTACCAAGATACTTCTCAAGTGTGCACGATTTCTAAGTATCCAATAACTAGGTTGCATTTTAACTAGTGTTTGTGAGTATTTACATGATTTAGACAGCTCTCTTTGTATCCTAATTTGAAAGCAGACAAAAAAAAAAATGTGAATCTGTGTGCTACTTTATTTAAAAAGTAACATATATAAAGATCAATTTAGAAAAAATCTCAGGGGAAATGAAAAGGGTGTGCAAATTCCCACTGGAATTTGATAAATGTCTTTTTAGAAGGTTTTCTAGATTGGTCCTATTAAATGACGCCATGAATTCATTGATCACTTGTATGCTTTTTCGTAAACTTTATACTGTTGCACTTGTCGTTTAACTCGTTATTTTGTAGATTGATTTTGCATTCAACGATGCTGATATTATTGAAGAAAGAACACTTATTTCTGTAATTGGGCGTCAGAGATTGCAAGGGGAGGAATCTATTATTCAAGAGAAGGTGAGTCAAAATATTGTTATTTGTTGAACTCAAGTTATGTTATTTCGATTTCATTTTTGATTTCTTGATCAAAACTTTTTGTCTTTCTTTTCCTTCACAGAATATACTCAATGCTGCTGAGAAACTCGTATTCATAGTCACAGAGAAACAATACAAAAGTGGTCTAGAAGGTTCAATTCCAGTTTTAATTAAATCTGTAAGCTGTCATATGCATTATTGGCATAAATTGCTGGAAATAATTTACCAAAATAAGGGTTAATTGACTTAATTGACATTTTAAAAGTCTTGTGTCAGTTCAACTGGATGGAAACTGCAGAAGAGATTGAAGACCTATTTTTAGGTGATGTGGAGGTATTCTCATTATGATAGTATGGCATAATGTCATCACAATGACAATTCCTTTTCTCATATGTAGAATAATAAGAGCCTATTTGGTGCAACTTCTTAAAGCTTAAGGCTGATAATTTGAAAGCAGAAGCTAAACCCCTTCCTAAGCTTCTTAATAGTCAGTTTTTCTTAGCTCAATTTAGCTATTTTTGTCTCATAAGGTGTAAGCAGAGGTTAGTAACACTCTGGCACATAAAGCAGCCCCTATAAGCTGCACCAAACAATGCTTAAATAACTTCCATAATTATGACTGCAATCGCATAATTACAGGTATGGAGGAGACCATCTATAGGCCATGCAGGTCCAACGGGAGGCGACTTCCCACTAATCACTAGAGAAGGGCATAATGTTCTTGATGTTATATTTACGTCGCCAATACTAAACCTTGGTATGATATGACTATCATGGTAATCGCCTTAATTTCCTATGTTTTTGTCCATGTTGTATGATATTTCTTAGAGGACCATTGCTTTTACCCGCAGTTGAAGTAGCCAACACTCTTGACAATATTGATGGGGTTGTAGACCATGGAGTCATTTCTAAGATCCCGTAAGTTCCAAGTTGCCTTGTAACCTTCTTCTGTTTTTGCATGGATGACATTTGTTTATGCTTGATGGATAGATAAGAATTTGCAGAAAAATTAACTAAATGAATAAAATTGTGATACTATCCTCAATGGCATGCAGAGGTCACGACTTGGAGTGATGGCAAGTGCTATCCACTCCCAGCGCTATGATGCAAGCCTGAGTCACGAAAATCAGCTTGTCCTAAAAAATGGTGGGAATGTCGCCTACCTACTACGTCTCCTAGACCCTATTGTAAGTGGAGCCTTGTACACTGACGTTTACTATCCTCGGTGACATGTTTTGGGACATTGCCCCACCTTATCATATGTCATTGCCATATCATTAGGAGCCTCCATGTGCCTACCATCGTTTGAAAGACGTAGACCTACAATATGAGGACATGTGTGCCTCCATTATCACTCCCTCTATTTGTTGAGCTATGTTATTCCCCAAGTGAAGATTAAAGCAAAGATACCTATGGCCTAAAAGCTCCACTCTACGTACTTGAAGCTCATAACGTTATGCCCTTAGGGCATTGATGCCTGCCTAGATCAGGAGCAAGGCCTACAAATTTGAGCTGAGTATGGAATCATTGTGCAGTAGCCTCCATGCTACTTCCATGACACACTCTTGTAAGATATTGCCCATTGATTAGATCCTTCGGATCATATGGCTCAGTGTTCTAAACCGAGGGTTCGCTTGGGCTTCTGATGGTCCTACTCATCTAAGTATAACTTAATTTTGTGTTTCTTGTCAGTTCTATTCGATAATTTTCTCCTCCATAGATAGTCAAGTGAATCATCACGATAGCTAAAGGTAGCTGCTTCAGAATGGTAAACCATTTTCACATTGTCTACTTCTGATAGTGGTTTTAAACACCATTCTTTCTGGGTTATTCTTATTTTATTTCTAAAGGAAACTGATACATGGACAATGTTTTGCTTTTTTCTCTCTCTCTCACACACAAACATTGAGTAAAATGCAGGTGCACTGCAGTGATTGCTTCTGAAGATGGGCTGAGCATTGTAGAGAATCCGCCAAAGAATGCAGAGAGCGGAATTTAATAGAAGCAGTCGGTAATAGAGATTAATTATTATATATGCCTTTAGCTTCATTACTACAAGTAACTTTTCTGGTGTGACTGGAAAACATGATTATGGAAAGCAAAAGGATGGTGATTAATTTTAGATTCATGCTTCTGACTAATCCAATAATTACCTATAAACTAAACGGATAGTTCAGAAAATCCTTTTTGTCATATGTTTCACTTGCCTCATTTTACAATGTGCCTCTCATATTGTTAATTGGACTTGATAGATTTTAATTCTTAGTAATACTTTCGTTTTTGGTTTTCTTCTTAATGCTTTCGTTTCTTGTTTTCTGTTTACATTACATTTTTTTTTTCTTCTGAAAATTAGATGTGAATTCACTTCATGTAGTAAATACATATAACTCTCATAATGATGGATATATAAACTATCACAAAAGGTATCAAACTCCTCTCTATAGGAGTTGAATCTACAACCTCGCACTACAAATGGTGTTGCACAACCACTAGGCAAAATGTCTTAGTTTATAAATTTTAGGGTAAATTACAGTTACCTCCTGTGAGGTTTTTGACAATTATAAGGATTTCCCTTATGATTTTTGAAATTACATTAACCCCTCTTATTTTTTCTGACATTGTCAAGATTCTTCTCTCCTATTAATTTAGCCCAAACGTTGTTAACTTAGTTGTGCAAATGACCATAATACCCTTTAAATGCTATTCATAACCTCAAGGGAAGTGTAATTTACTTATATATTAAACTATCATTTTATTTTTCACAGTTTTTTTGGTAATTCTTGGACTTAGTATTTTTTTCCTGCTATAAGTTTTTGAACTTTTTTAAGTTAAAAAAAAAAAAAAAACCATTAATAAAAGTAAGAAAGAATATGCATGTTTCTTGTTTGAATTAATTTTAATATTTAATTTAATAAAAACAAATTAAATGAGAGAAACAAAGATGGAGATATAGATTTTAGATGTAATAAATAACAAATTATTTGAGTATTTTATTATTTTCGAATAATTTCTTTCTTCAAGTAAAATTTCATTCTAATTCGATGTAAGAAATGACAAATTATTTAAATTGTTTATTATTCTTAAATAATTTTTTTTATCTTTCATTTCTTATTAATTATTTTTAATTTATTTTTATTGTAACGTGATTAGTTTTTTTTTATTAATTATTTTTAATTTATTTTTATTGTAACGTGATTAGTTTTTTTTTACTTTTATATTTATTTTTAAAATTTTTGTTAATAAAGTGAGAAATATTGACCCCTTTTCTAAAAAATCCATGGACTGAAAATTGAAAGATTTAAAGACAAAAATTAAAATTTAAGAATAATATAAGATTGTGAAAAGATAAAAATGAAATTTTTTTAAATATATTTATGAGGTAGCATTTGGTAATTTTTATAAGTTATTTTTTTTTAATTATAAATATAAAATGTTATTATGTTTATTTTTCTTTAAAAAAATATAATACAAAATATGTTTACAAAAAAAAAAAAAATCAATGTTTGGTAAGTTAAAAAAATCATGTTTCGTAAGTTGTTGTGGTATTGGATGATGCTAGGTAGCACTGATGAAAGGGAAAAGATGCTGAAAAAATGGACAAAAAAGCAATGATTCCTTTTTTATTACAATAGATTAAATTTTCATTTATTATTTAAACACGTTTATTGATCTAACTTAGGGTTTAGTTACACATATAGATATAATACTTTAATTTTTAATTTTTTTTATAATTATTATAGATTTATATATATTGATGAACCGAATATGAAAGGCTTAAGATTTTCTCACATTATAGAGCAAAACATAGAGCATTGAAAACATATTCAAATTATAGAGTAAAACATGATTCAGTTACAAATTTATGTAATATTCAAGGATTGTTTCATGGATCCAAAGAGTTCATTTTGTTTAAAAAATAAAGAAGTTAATTTATTTTAACTTTCTTTATAAATTAAAAAAAAAGATTCAAACAATAAATACGTTAGTTCAAATGATAAACTTTACATTAGTTATGTAGTGTGAAATAAATCTTACGTAAAATTATTAAGGTATTATCTATAATAACATTAATTTTAGAGATATGATTTCTTTTTAAATATTTTATCAATGTTTAAATATTTTTATAATATCTTAGAATTTTTTTTAATATTGTATAGAATTTAATAATTTTGTTCAACATTACTAAAATAATATATGGGGTCATCATTAATTTTTTTGTAACATTAATTTTTTTGTAAAACCTCAAGGGAAGTGAGTGAAATATACAATTTGAATATATAAGGGCAATCTTGGTGTTTTTGACTCATAATACATGACATCAACACGATATTAACATATTTTGCTAAATAAACTAACAGAAGATTAACGATAGGGGAATTTTAATAGGGTCAATTGTTGAAAAGTCAAAATTAAAGAAGGTATAAGGCATTAGATTAAGTGGATATTTTTTATTGATAAGAAGTCTACTCTTTGTGAAATAATTTGGTGAAAAGCCCTTTTGTTTGTTTTGAAGAACATTTTGTTTTCAATTTTATTCTTTAATTTATCTATTAACTTTTTATAGCAATTCTGGTTTTGACCCGACCTTTATTGTATTCCAGACTCGGATTTCGTGGCTTAATATTGTTATTCATGTCTATTTCCCTCTTTTTCCTTTCCTATTTTGAGTATTGGAATGTCTTGGATATGTTTGGGACATGTTGGTTGCTAATTGGTCTAGAATGCTGTTGCCCAGATTTTGGTTTCTTCGCTCGAGCGAGGCTTCTTGTGCTCGAGTGACGGTGTGCGTTTGTAAAACTTCTGAAGGTGTGTATTCTGCGCTCGAGCTATGCTTCTTGCGCTCGAGCGAGGTCACTTATTGTGTTTGGTCGCTTGAGCGACAACTCCTTTGCTCGGGCGAGCCTTGCGTATATCAAATTGCAGTAACTCATTTTTACACAAAAATTTTGTATATTTTCACTCAAAAATCCTAGATTGGCTCTTTCTCTCTCTAAAAACCGACTTCTCTCTACAAATCTCCTCGGACTAAGGGTCTCTCTACCCTACTCTCTTTGATAAAGAGTTAGAGTATCTCAAGAGCTACCATTTCATCCGAATAGAGTTTGGTTTCGTCACTTTTGAAGTTCCACAATTTCTCCTTTAGACTTCTACACTTGAGGTAGAGATATTCTACACTTTGTTATGAGCTTTAACCTAGTTATTTGTTGTTATGTATATCTGGTGAGATTTGGGTTGTTTGGAGAAAACTTAGGATTTGGGCTCATGATTTAGAAAGTGGGGTTTCTATGTGGTGTTATATAATTGATCATGGGATTTGGATGTAAGGTTGTTTTGTGTTAAAATAGATGATTTTGACTTTTGGGTCAATATTTGGAAAATGGGGAGTTTTTCCCTAAAATGTTTGGAATAATTTATTTTGTATAAATAATGGAATTGATATGAGAAATGTGAAATTGGAAGGATGTATGAAAGAATGGTGTAGTTAGATTTGTTTAAATCACCCACCTATGAAAATTTGATAGATTATCTGTTATAAGAATTGTATATCTGTTTAGAAATAACTATATTGGGCTATCAGTGGAGGATATCTATGATTGTTGTAGAAATTGCATGAGGATTAGGTGAATTGAAACTAATCACTTAATTATGTCATTGAATATGACGGTATGTTAAGACATTGAATATGTATAATTGAATGTCATTGAATATGATGATACTTGTAAGTACATTGTATATGTATAACGTTTTGGAAAGAGAAAGATGATGTACTTCATATTTTGGGAGGAGATAGGAGATAGACTCGATTGAAAATTAAGTTGGCTGGAGTGTACAAGGTGAAAGTCCTGAAATCTTATGTATATATGGGTGTCGATCCCGAGGACGAAATTTCCGTAAAATGGCAAGATTGAAGTGTTTATGTGATAGTTATGTTGATTGAAAACTACTGGGTTGTAGTCTCAGTTGGGTTATTCGGAAAAGTATAAATGTGGTTTATCTTCCTCTAAGGACGTAGCTTGGGAAGGCCTAAGGGTTGGAGGGTCTATTTTTGTCATTTTGTGCTTAATTTTTTTTTTCAAGTCATGGGCTTAATATGTATGGAACTTATGACTCCCTTTTGTTGTAACCAAGTTAATGTCTTGGAAAGATGTAAGCCCGTAGGGTATTTATTTTGTTGTCATTAACTGACATTACATGCTATAGATTCATAATGAACATTTATGAATGTATGAAGCATGTAATATCCTTTTGTAATATGAACTCTGAGGAATGAAAATACACCAATTCCATTATACCTGTTTCTCTTATGAGTTGAATTGTTTGTATTATTTTGGGGGCGTTATAACTTGGTATCAGAGCGTATCGTGTTTGAATACTTTGGGTACATGGGAAGTGGTTATTACCACAATGGGTTTGTCTCGCTTAGTTGAGACGTTAGTACGTATAGTATGCTTATGTGATAACACGTTTATGTGATTATATGAGTATGGGATTTAATTTCTAGGATGTTGATCGAGTCCACAGGTTTCTGGGAGTCCTGTGGGAAAGGCACTTGATCACTGCCATTTCTAACCGGAACTCTAGCAACGCCGCAGGACGGTCATTATCTGGAAATGAAATTTGTATGTGTTTCCGTGACTACGTGCTTATGTGGAGTGGATTGGTGTTGTCCATTGCATTAGGACACGAGTGAGTTAGCTTTGGTACATTTATGAATGTGCTAATTTCTTTTGTTACCTTAATTAGGATGTCAGAACGTGGACGTGGTGGTGGTAAGCGTGGTAGGCCTAGGCGGCAGGAGATGCCTATACAGGATGATATTCCGGCATAGGAGGAAGGAGTTGGTTAGGCTAATGTGGCCGAACCAGTTGGTCAACAGGCCATGTGCACCTTAGCTCGCAAAATAGCCAGAGCATTAAGGGAATCCATGGACATTCTCAGGGCTGAGAATCAAGTCCAAGCCTAAATAGCTGAGGCAGGACCGTTTTTTCTGAAGAAAGAGTTCTTCTGGTCGAATCCGGACGAGTTTTTGGATGATCCCAAGGAGCCACTGAAGGCTGATGAGTGGCTGGAACAGATGGTGAAGACGTTTGAGATGCTCGGCATCGAAGACGGGGGTTTGAGAGTGACCTTG